AGCAGTTGGGATGTGTGTGTAGCATGAATGTATAATGTGTGGTTTACCACAGGGCCGTTCCCTAGGCCCTCTACTCTTTTCTATTTTTTACCAATGACCTGCCACCGGCGTTAAACAAAGCATGTGTGTCCATGTATGACTCAACCACAGCCAGTGAAATCACGGCAACCCTTAAATAAAGAGGTGTAGTTAGTTTTAGAATGGGGGTGGCCAGTCATAAACTGGTCCTGAACACCTCTAAAACTAAGAGCATTGTATTAGATACAAGTCATTCCTCGAGTTTGAGACCTCAGCTGAATCTGCTAATGAATGGTGTGGCTGTTGAACAAGTTGAGGAGACTAACTTACTTGGTGTTGTAAACTGTCATGGTCAAAACATATAGAATCAAAGGTTGTAAAGATGGGGAGAGGTCTGTCTGTAATAAAGAGACGCTCTGCTTTTTAAACCCACTCCATACAGTATAGCAAGTCCTGCAGGCTTTAGTTTGATCTTATCGTGATTATTGTCCAGTCATGTGGTCCAGTGCTGCAAGCAAAGACCTAGTTAAGCTGCAGCTGGCCCAGAACAGAGCGACACATCTTACTCTTCATTGTAATCAAAGGGCTAACATAAATACTACACATGCCAGTCTCTCTTGTCTAAGAGTTGAAAAAAGACTGACTGCATCACTTCATCTTTTTATAAGAAACATTAATGTGTTGACAATCCCAGTCAATTTACACAGCTCTGACACACACACTTACCCCACCAGACATGCCACGAGAGGACTTTTCACAGTCCCCAGGTCGAGAACGAATTCAAGGAAATGTACAGTATTATACAGAGCCACGATTGCATTGAACTCCCTTCCATCTCATATAGTGCAAGTGAACAGCAAACCTGGTTTCAAAAAAATAAATAAATCAACACCTCACGGCACAAGCCTCTCCCCCATGTGACCTACTTGTTGAGTGTGTGTACTGACATGTATGTGTAACTGATGGATGCAGTAAGACTAGCTGTCGCCATTGACGTAAGCTAATGGGGACCCTAACAAAATAAAATAAAATATAAATACCAGCCCTCCTCCCCCTTCCCTTCCCATCCTAACCCTACTGAAAATACAGCTCTTCCTCTTCCTCTCCCCCAACCCTCCTCCTCTCCTCCATCCTACCCTTCCTTTAGCGAGGAGGCCTTCCTAATTGACCTGGCCCAGGTATCCTGGATGGATATAGATCTCATTCCGTCAGTAGAGGATGCCTGGTTGTTCCTTAAAAGTAATTTCCTCTCAATCTTAAATAAACATGCCCCATTCAAAAAATACAGAACTAAGAACCGATATAGCCCCTGGTTCTCCTCAGACTTGACTGCCCTTGACCAGCACAAAAACATCCTGTGGCGTACAGCATTAGCATCAAATAGCCCCCGCGATATGCAACTTTTCAGGGAAGTTAGGAACCAATATACACAAGCAGTCAGGAAAGCAAAGGCTAACTTTTTCAAACAGAAATTTGCATCCTGTAGCACTAACTCCAAAAAGTTTTGGGACACTGTAAAGTCCATGGAGAATAAGAGCACTTCCTCCCAGCTGCCCACTGCACTGAGGCTAGGAAACACTATCACCACCGATAAATCTACAATAATCGAGAATTTCAACAAGCATTTTGCTACAGCTGGCCATGCTTTCCATTTGGCTACCACTAACCCGGCCACCAACTCTGCACCCTCTGCTGCAACTTGCCCATGCCCCCCCCGCTTCTCCTTCACACAAATTCAGACAGCTGATGTTTTGAAAGCGCTGCAAAATCTGGACCCCTACAAATCAGCTGGGCTAGACAATCTGGACCCTTTCTTTCTAAAACTAGCCGCCGAAATTGTCGCAACCCCTATTACTAGTCTGTTCAACCTCTCTTTCATAACGTCTGAGATCCCCAGAGATTGGAAAGCTGCCGCGGTCATCCCCCTCTTCAAAGGGGGTGACACTCTAGATCCAAACTGCTACAGACCTATATCCATCCTGCCCTGCCTTTCGAAAGTATTCGAAAGCCAAGTTAACAAACAGATCACCGACCATTTCGAATACCACCGTACCTTCTCCGCTATGCAATCCGGTTTCCGAGCTGGTCACGGGTGCACTTCAGCCACGCTCAAGGTCCTAAACGATATTATAACCACGATTGATAATAGACAGTACTGTGCAGCCGTCTTCATCGACCTGGCCAAGGCTTTCGACTCTGTCAACCACCGCATTCTTATTGGCAGACTAAATAGCCTTGGTTTCTCAAATGACTGCCTCGCCTGGTTCACCAACTACTTCTCAGATAGAGTTCAGTGTGTCAAATCGGAGGGCCTGTTGTCTGGACCTATGGCAGTCTCTATGGGGGTGCCACAGGGTTCAATTCTTGGGCCGACACTTTTCTCCGTGTATATCAATGATGTCGCTCTTGCTGCTGGTGACTCTCAGATCCACCTCTACGCAGACGACACCATTTTGTATACATCTGGCCCTTCATTGGACACTGTGTTAACAAACCTCCAAACGAGCTTCAATGCCATACAACAATCCTTCAGTAGCCTTCAACTGCTCTTAAACACTAGTAAAACTAAATGCATGCTTTTCAATCGAACGCTGCTAGCACCCGCCCACCCGACTAGAATCACCACTCTCGACGGGTCTGACCTAGAGTATGTGGACAACTACAAATATCTAGGTGTCTGGTTAGACTGTAAACTCAACTTCCAGACTCACATAAAGAATCTCCAATCCAAAGTTAAATCTAGAATCGGCTTCCTATTTCGCAACAAAGCCTCCTTCACTCATGCTGCCAAACATGCCCTCGTAAAACTGACTATCCTACCGATCCTTGACTTCGGCGATGTCATTTACAAAATAGCCTCCAACACTCTACTCAGCAAATTGGATGTAGTCTATCACAGTGCCATCCGTTTTGTCTCCAAAGCCCCATACACTACCCACCACTGTGACCTGTACGCTCTTGTTGGCTGGTCCTCACTACATGTTCGTCGTCAAACCCACTGGCTCCAGGCCATCTATAAATCACTGCTAGGCAAATCCCCCGCCTTATCTTAGCTCATTGGTCACCATAGCAGCACCCACCCGTAGTCTGCGCTCCAGCAGGTATATCTCACTGGTCATTCCCAAAGCCAACACCTCCTTTGGCCGCCATTCCTTCCAGTTCTCTGCTGCCAATGACTGGAACGAATTGCAAAAATCTCTGAAGCTGGAGACTCTTATCTCCCTCAATAACTTTAAGCATCAGTTGTCAGAGCACCTTACCGATCACTGCACCTGTACACAGCCCATCTGAAATTAGCCCACCCAACTACCTCATCCCTATATTGTTATTTATTTTGCTCTTTTGCACCCCAGTATCTCTATTTGCACATCATCTCTTGCACATCTAGCATTCCAGTGTTAATACTATTGTAATTATTCTGCACTATAGCCTATTTATTGCCTTACCTCCATAACTTGCTACATTTGCACACACTGTATATATATTTTCTGTTGTATTTCTGACTTTATGTTTTTTTTTACCCCATATGTAACTCTGTGTTGTTTTTATTGCACTACTTTGCTTTATCTTGGCCAGGTCGCAGTTGTAAATGAGAACCTGTTCTCAACTGGCTTACCTGGTTAAATAAAGGTGAAATAAAAAAATTAAATAAAAGACATAGCAGCCCCATTCACCCTCCTACCCTCCCCTTTCCATTCCTGTATTCACATCTCTACCTCCTATTCCCCCCCCCCCCTTCCATCCATATATCTCCCCCCTCTCCCCCTCTCCCCCCTTCCATCCATATCCCTGCCTCCTCTACCTCCTCTTCTCCCCCTTTCATCCATATCTCTCCCTGCTCTACCCCCCCTTACATCCATATCCCTCCCCCCTCTCCCCCATCCATCCATATATCTCCCTCCCCTCCACCACCTCCCCCATCCCCCCTCCGACCATGTCCATCTCCCCCTCCTCCCTCCTCCCCCTTCCATCCATATGACTCCCCCATCCCCCCTCCACCCATGTCTCCCTCCCCTCCTCCCTCCTCCCCCTTCCATCCATATGTCTCCCCCCTCTCCCCCACTCCCCCCCACTCCCCTTCCATCCATAATCTCCCTCCCCTCCAACCCCCTCTCCCTTCCATCCATATGTCTCCCCCCTCCCCCCTCCCCCCCTCCATCCATGTCTCCCTCCCCTCCTCTCCCTCTCCCCCCCTTCCATCCATTTGTCTCCCTCCTCTCCTCACTTCCATCATGATGGCTCCCTCCCCTCATAGTGTATTTTACAGTATGTTTTACAGTATGTTTTACAGTATGTTTTACAGTATGTTTTACAGTATGTTTTATAGTATGTTTTACAGTGTGTTTTACAGTATGTTTTATAGTATGTTTTACAGTATGTTTTACAGTATGTTCTACAGTGTGTTTTACAGTATGTTTTACAGTATGTTTTACAGTATGTTTTACAGTATGTTCTACAGTGTGTTTTATAGTATGTTTTACAGTAAGTTTTACAGTATGTTTTACAGTATGTTTTACAGTATGTTCTACAGTGTGTTTTACAGTATGCTTTACAGTATGTTCTACAGTGTGTTTTACAGTATGTTTTACAGTATGTTTCAAGGCTTATAGCTGAAGTAGCTCCTATGTGTTATTACACCAAATGAAACGTTTTTTTCTGAACTACTCTTGCTCAGGTTCTTCCTCTCTCTTACTGTGTCAAGCGCTACCTACCTTCCATTTCAAAAAGTCTCCCAATCTTTTAATACTCCCTCTGTGGGAGATGAGAAGTACAAATATGCTTTCTTTCCCCCTTACTTGTTCTTGCTCTCTCTGACTGTTTCTCTCCCACCCTTTCTTTTTAGCTCTCTCTTGCTCTATTTCTGTCTCTCTCTCTCTCTCTCTCTCTCTTGCTTTTGCTGCCCCCCCCCCCCACCCCTCTCTCTCTGAATGAAATAATGTAACAATACATGTCAGCTTTATTTATACCCATCCATCCATTCCCTATTCAGTCTGCTTGGTTGGTTCAGGTGGGGAGATTTCAGTCTGCTTCGTTAGTTCAAATGGGTAGGTTTGAGTCTGCTTGGTTGGTTCAGGTGGGGAGGTTTCAGTCTGCTTGGTTGGTTCAGGTGGGGAGGTTTCAGTCTGCTTGGTTGGTTCAGGTGGGGAGGTTTCAGTCTGCTTGGTTGGTTCAGGTGGGGAGGTTTCAGTCTGCTTGGTTGGTTCAGGTGGGGAGGTTTCAGTCTGCTTGGTTGGTTCAGGTGGGGAGGTTTCAGTCTGCTTGGTTGGTTCAGGTGGGGAGGTTTCAGTCTGCTTGGTTGGTTCAGGTGGGGAGGTTTCAGTCTGCTTGGTTGGTTCAGGTGGGGAGGTTTCAGTCTGCTTGGTTGGTTCAGGTGGGGAGGTTTCAGTCTGCTTGGTTGGTTCAGGTGGGGAGGTTTGGCATTTCTCTGTGTATTCTCTTTGAGCAGTGAAACACACACTGGGTTTTCAGAGCTGTCAGAGAAGCACATGATGAGTGAAGACAGTGGCTCACAGGTTAAGCAAATGTTTTAAACCAGGAACAATTAGCTAGCCACACAGAGGTATCACACATTAAAACGACACTTTAGTCAGTCACAGACAACACAGAGAGAGAGAGCGGAGGAGAGAGAGAGAGAGAGAGAGAGAGAGAGAGAGAGAGGAGAGAGAGAGAGGAGAGAGAGAGAGAGGAGAGAGAGAGAGAGAGAGAGAGAGATAGAGAGTACAAAAGAGAGGGTGGATAAATCAAATTATTTCTGTGAAGAACTAGAGAGAGCGTGAGGGTGTGAGAGAACAAAAGAGAGATGAGAGAGAGAAGAGAGGAATAAACGTTGCCTACCTTTCAGACATAATTGTTTTTTGGGCAGGTTGCAGGGATAGGAGAGAACCTGGTCCCGGGAGGTAGCGGGGTGTGACATTTTCATTTGCTTCAAAGTTCTCCTCTGGTGACATAATGCAGATTGTATATCTGTGTTCCAAATGGTACTCTATTCCATATATAGTTCACTAATATCTCTGTACGGATCCCTGGGCCGATGGGGGCTGACGGGGCCGTGAGTGTCCGGGCTCTGCTCTATTCCATATATAGTTCACTAGTATCTCTGTACGGATCCCTGGGCCGATGGGGGCTGACGGGGCCGTGAGTGTCCGGGCTCTGCTCTATTCCATATATAGTTCACTAATATCTCTGTACGGATCCCTGGGCCGATGGGGGCTGACGGGGCCGTGAGTGTCCGGGCTCTGCTCTATTCCATATATAGTTCACTAATATCTCTGTACGGATCCCTGGGCCGATGGGGGCTGACGGGGCCGTGAGTGTCCGGGCTCTGCTCTATTCCATATATAGTTCACTAATATCTCTGTACGGATCCCTGGGCCGATGGGGGCTGACGGGGCCGTGAGTGTCCGGGCTCTGCTCTATTCCATATATAGTTCACTAATATCTCTGTACGGATCCCTGGGCCGATGGGGGCTGACGGGGCCGTGAGTGTCCGGGCTCTGCTCTATTCCATATATAGTTCACTAATATCTCTGTACGGATCCCTGGGCCGATGGGGGCTGACGGGGCCGTGAGTGTCCGGGCTCTGCTCTATTCCATATATAGTTCACTAATATCTCTGTACGGATCCCTGGGCCGATGGGGGCTGACGGGGCCGTGAGTGTCCGGGCTCTGCTCTATTCCATATATAGTTCACTAATATCTCTGTACGGATCCCTGGGCCGATGGGGGCTGATGGGGCCGTGAGTGTCAGGGCTCTGCTCTATTCCATATATAGTTCACTAATATCTCTGTACGGATCCCTGGGCCGATGGGGGCTGACGGGGCCGTGAGTGTCCGGGCTCTGCTCTATTCCATATATAGTTCACTAATATCTCTGTACGGATCCCTGGGCCGATGGGGGCTGACGGGGCCGTGAGTGTCAGGGCTCTGCATCATAATAATGTCCAGTGTTCCTCATCATAATGATGTCCAGTGTTCCTCATCATTCTCATCATAATAATGTACAGTGTTCTTCATCATGATAATGTCCAGTGTTCCTCATCATTCTCATCATAATAATGTACAGTGTTCTTCATCATGATAATGTCCAGTGTTCCTCATCATCCTCATCATGATAATGTACAGTGTTCTTCATCATGATAATGCCCAGTGTTCCTCATCATAGTAATACCCAGTGTTCCTCATCATGATAATGTCCAGTGTTCCTCATCATTCTAATCATAATAATGTCCAGTGTTCCTCATCATAATAATGTCCAGTGTTCTTCATCATAATGATGTCCAGTGTTCTTCATCATTCGCATCATAATAATGTCCAATTTTCCTCATCATGATAATGTCCAATGTTCTTCATCATTCTCATTATAATAATGTCCAGTGTTCCTGATCATGATAATGTCCAGTGTTCCTCATCATTCTCATTATAATAATGTCCAGTGTTCCTCATCATAATAATAATTTCCAGTATTCCTCATCATGATAATGTCCAGTTTTCAAATCATAATTATATTGTCCAGTGTTCCGCATCATAATAATGTCCAGTACTCCTCATCATAATGATGTCCAGTGTTCTTCATCATCCTCATTATAATAATGTCCAGTGTTCCTCATCATGATAATGTCCAGTGTTCCTCATAATTTTCATTATAATAATGTCCAGTGTTCCTCATAATTGTCACGATCGTCAAAAGGAGTGGACCAATGCGCAGCGTGGAATGCGAACATACTTTTATTAAATATTCACCACACGAACAAAAACAACAAAACGATACGTGAAATCCTTGGGTACATACACAAACCATACACGGAACAAGATCCCACAATACACTGTGCCAAATAGGCTGCCTAAGTATGGATCCCAATCAGAGACAACAAGCAACAGCTGATTCTCGTTGCCTCTGATTGAGAACCACCCCGGCCAACATAGCTACACATGAACTAGATCCTAACATAGAAACACAAACACATAGAATCTACACACCCTGGCTCAACATATAAGCGTCCCAGAGCCAGGGCTTGACAATAATTCTCATCATAATAATGTCCAGTGTTCCTCATAATAATAATGTCCAGTTTTCCTCATCATGATAATGTCCAGTGTTCCTCATCATCCTCATCATGATATTGTCCAGTGTTCTTCATCATTCTCATTATAATAATGTCCACCGTTCCTCATCATCCTGATCATGATAATGTCCGGTGTTCTTCATCATAATGATGTCCAGTGATCTTCATCATAATAACGTCCACTGTTCTTCATCATCCTCATCATGATAATGCCCAGTGTTCTTCATCATAATGATGTCCAGTGATCTTCATCATAATAACGTCCAGTGTTCCTAATCATCCTCATCATGATAATGCCCAGTGTTCTTCATCATAATGATGTCCAGTGATCTTCATCATAATAACGTCCAGTGTTCCTAATCATCCTCATCATGATAATGTCCAGTGTTCCTCATAATAAAAATGTCCAGTGTTCTTCATCATGATAATGTCCAGTGTTCTTCATCATCCTCATCATAATATTGTTTAGTGTTCCTCATCATAATAATGTCCAGTGTTCTTCATCATGATAATGTCCAGTGTTCCTCATCATGATAATGTCCAGTGTTCCTCATCATAATAATGTCCTGTGTTCCTCATCTTCCTCATCATAATAATGTCCAGTGTTCTTCATCATGATAATGTCCAGTGTTCTTCATCATGATAATGTCCAGTGTTCTTCATCATCCTCATCATAATATTGTTTAGTGTTCCTCATCATAATAATGTCCAGTGTTCCTCATAATAATAATGTCCAGTGTTCCTCATCATAATAATGTTTTTCATTACAATATTGTCCACCGTTCCTCATCATCCTTATCATGATAATGCCCAGTGTTTTTAATCATAATGATGTCCAGGGATCTTCATCATAATAATGCCCAGTGTTCCTCATCATGATAATGTTCAGTTTTCTTCATCATCCTCATTATAATAATGTCCAGTGTTCCTCCTAAAGATAATGTCCAGTGTTACTAATCATGATCATGTCCAGTGTTCTTCATCATTCTCATCATAATAATGTCCAGTGTCCCTCATCATCCTCATCATAATATTGCCCAGTGTTCCTTATCATGATAATGTCAAGTTACAAACACAATGGACCAAGGAACAGTTACCACCCTTTCAGAATGGAAGTTACAAACACAATGGACCAAGGAACAGTTACCACCCTTTCAGAATGGAAGTTACAAACACAATGGACCAAGGAACAGTTACCACCCTTTCAGAATGGAAGTTACAAACACAATGGACCAAGGAACAGTTACCACACTTTCAGAACGGAAGTTAAGTCTACACGTCCCCAGGTCCTGCTTTAGGAATGACAGGAAATGCAGTACTTTAAAAAATATTTACCGGTACTAGGTAATTGATCAGGTATTTCTCTATTAGGCCAACAAAGCCGATTTAATGTTTATTTTTTGTGAGGCTAGCGAGCAAATAAATATGAAATACAATAAACAAAAATATAAATGCAACATGTAAAGTGTTGGTCCCATGTTTCATGAGCTGAAATAACAAATCCCAGATACAGTATTTTCTCTCAAATTTTGTTCACAAATCTGTTTACATCCCTGTTAGTGATTTATCCGTTGTCAAGACAATCCATCCACCTGACAGGTGCGGCATATCAAAAAAGCTGATTAAACCGCATTATCATTACACAGGTGCACCTTGTGCTGGGGACAATTAAAGGCCACTCTAAAATGTGCAGTTTAGTCACATTACATTGTGATCCACAACAGCTTTCTACAAAGTAAACACTTGACTGCTGCAGAATGTTAACGGTAGGACAGTGTGTGTGTGTAACAGAGAGACATCCAATTAAACCGTCAGAGCAGGGAAAGGCCACAGTTTCCCCAGCCAGGTTACCCGTGATACATGTCGATATTCAATGTCCATCCATGTCTGAGGACGTCAGGAGGTTGACGTGGAAACCGGCCACTAGGGGGCAACAGTGTGCGCAGTCTCCTTCAAGTAGGTTTCGGTTTTGCTAGGGAATGGTGGATGGGGGAAAGCATCTGCCACTGATTCCAAAGATTAAAGCAAGTTTAAATCTAGCAATAGAAAGTTGTTTTTTTGTAATTATTTTTGTATCCTATCCCAAACCTTAACCCTTACCTTAACCATTCGAGTTAATGCCTAACCTTAAGATTTCAGAGTTAATGTCTAAACTTAACCTTAACCTTACAAATTAGGAGTTAATACCTCAACTTAACCGTAAACACTTTAAAATGTGATGTTTGATATAATATTGATGAACATCTACTTCTGACGTGAGACTGTGAGAGAGCTAGTTGGTTTACCCAGCCAGGTTTTCATGAGACTGTGAGAGAGCTAGTTGGTTTACCCAGCCAGGTTTTCATGAGACTGTGAGAGAGCTAGTTGGTTTACCCAGCCAGGTTTTCATGAGACTGTGAGAGCCAGTTGGTTTACCCAGCCAGGTTTTCATGAGACTGTGAGAGAGCTAGTTGGTTTACCCAGCCAGGTTTTCATGAGACTGTGAGAGAGCTAGTTGGTTTACCCAGCCAGGTTTTCATTAGACTGTGAGAGCTAGTTGGTTTACCCAGCCAGGTTTTCATCTTGAAAGACAACATCAATACATTTTCTGTCCTCTTTCTTTCTGTCCATCTTTTCAGATTGATGTCATTATGATTCATGGTAGCTATCCTCAGCAGCGTGCACATAGCCCTGCGAAATGTCTGCGCAAACACACACAAACACACACACACACACACACACTCCCAAACACACACACGTCAATGAAGAACATTGGGTACAAACATGCCTGTGGAGGTAGCGTTTTTTTAAACAGGGGGTGAATGTCAAGCAGTTTCCAAACGTATGTTAATGCTTAGTGGCTGACAGAGGGTTAACCTCGTTTAGACAACGACAACGCAAGTCTCATATCAGATTCAGGGATTGATTCTGGTCAGGCTTTAAAGGCAGCATAAGCAATGTGACTTTCAAGTGAATGTGTGTGTGTGTTTATGTGTGTGTCTGCACAAGCATGCATATCTGTGCGCAGGCTTGTGTGTGTTTATCTGTGCACGCTTGTCTGCTTAGTACATGCTGATTTGTATGCTTGAAGGAACATATTTTCATATGTTTAAGTGGGGAACATATTTTCATATATTTAAGTGGCGTAACGTCAAGCTTTGATAGTACTGTCTCTTGTGGCTATCTCTTGGAACTAACCCTTAGTTGAAGGATTGGGTAGGATATGCCTATATCGTAGATGTACAGCTTGATTTGAAAAAGTTTCTGTGTTTCTCTCTTATCTTCCTTTACCTCTCTCTCTCTCTCTCTCTCTCTCTCTCTCTCTCTCTCTCTCTCTCTCTCCTCTCTCTCTCTCTCTCTCTCTCTCTCTCTCTCTCTCTCTCTCTCTCTCTCTCTCTCTCTCTTTCTGCCCCTATTGTAAGTGAACATCCTGGTACTTGAGTGGGACTGGAGAACTGACATCAGGGACATGGCAAAAGCAGCAAACTTCTCTCCTGTCTAGATCTCTGTTTGATGCCATTCACCACTCAAAGACAGAAACATCTCTTCATCTCTCTCTCTAACCCCCTGTCACCTCTCTCTCTCTCTCTCTCTCTCTCTCTCTAACCCCCTGTCTCCTCTCTCTCTCCCTCGCTCCCTCTCGTTCTCTTTAGAGACGTATCCTGATCTGTTTCAATCATTTATGGAATGAGAGAAAGAAGGAGACAAATGATGATGATCACAGCGGAGAGGTGGCCAAGTCCAACGCTCTCCTCCTCCTCTCCCTCAATTCAACCCTCTCTCTCTCGTTCAGCCTTTTGCATTCTGTTTACTACCCTTTGAGTGTTTCAATGTGGTTTCTGTAAGATTATTGATCCAATATTCTTTAGTATTCCTGGTCCGTATTCTGAA